GGGGGGGGGGGGAAGGTAGAGATACCTGTTATTTAACGTTTCCTGGCAAAAAACATACCTTCGCAACAAAGACAGTCGGGGGACAAGGTATTGACGGGACGATCATAAAGAGCAAAAACAAAGTGGGAAACGAGAAGAAGAAGAAGAATAGTGAAAAGGGTATTTCTGCCATGAAACTTCGGTGGGAATATTTGTATATTTGCCAGAAATAACATTTAAAAAAAGGTCATTTTCCATTGTCTCCTACTCCGCACTTTCCTTCTCTCCCGCAATTTCCCGGACGACACCCAGATCGAGACACACCACGGGCCTCGCTCCACAGCTCTCCACATGCACAAAAGACACAAAATATGGCGGTGAATCTTCCCTTGTTCTAGGGGCGGATTCAGTCTCATGTTGCACATTTGTTGGAGAGGAGTGGAGCGAGACCGCATGGCAATCCTGCCGCGATTCTTCTTTTTTCCCCCGAAAGAAATCCACTTTGCGTTGTCAAAAAGAGAATGATTGTCCCTCGGGACATCCGTTGAGATTAGCACGATACAGAAAAGATTAGTAGCATCGGCCCTGCGCAAGGATGACACGCATTAGGAAAGAAGGAGAGAGAGAGAGAGAGAGAGAGAGAGAGAGAGAGAGAGAGAGAGAGAGAGAGAGAGAGAGAGAGAGAGAGAGAGAGAATGATTGAGGCCGGAATCCTTCGACAAACAATCCCCCGGTACTGGGGCCATTACCAATGACCAGAAAGCCAACTAGCCAAATATCCAGTGAAGAGATCGAGATCTATAGTCCCGCACCACTTGCCAGGAGCATACCAGTGCAGGGGCTAAGTTCCACTACCGGTAGCGGTGCTTTACTCTTCCTTTGGAGTGTTTGTCAATGTGGTCACAGTGCAGCCGTGAGATGTTCAGATCGGATGACAGGAACATACGCGCACTCGAAACCAAGCCTACACCCTCACTACCGGCAATGGGACCTAGCCCCAGCTGGTTCGCTTGCTTATCCTCTTCCCGCACTCCCGATCTTCCTCCTCCTCTCCTCTCTTTCGTCATCATTACCTTCTTTTTTTTTCTTTTTCGTCATCATTACCTTCCTTTTTTTTCTTTCTTTTCCTTTTCTAACTTCGAGAGGGGGGGTGGGGGTTAGTGAGGCATCCTTTCGCCTTGAAAGAAGGAAAGAAGTTCTTTTCCTTTTTTCCTTCTATCTCCGGGAGGGGGGGGCCTGGGCGGTCCCCTTAGTGACGCATCCTTGCCTTGAAAGAAAGAATCAGCAATGGCCCACAGACTTGCTTACGAACACGACAGATCAACGAAAGCATTACAAAGCTTTGTGTGCTTCGACCTCAGAACGACATCCTCATCCTTACCTTGCTTCGCGCACGTCGCTTGAACCTACACGGACGGAGTTTGTGGTTATCCCTACACTTAATCTTCTTCTTCGTCTTCTCCTTCTCCGTCGGTGTCTGGAAGGGCGCATTTTGCTCCCCTGCCGCCTTCATAAGCCCCACACGGCCGTGATGATCCCCATCAGTATCACGCTTCTCGTCGTACCTATCTCTAGTTCCATGGACATCAGCTTCTCTGCCTCCTCCTGTATGTTCTCTCTCTCCCTCCTCATAGCATCCGCCTGCCACGTGTCCCCGGTTATACTCACCGTGACCCAACAAGGCAGGAAAGCCATCCGTACGCATCGCGATAAAAGCTGCGAACTGAAGGGGGGGGACGTCTGCTGCGTCTGCGGGAGGCTCGCCGGGTATCAAGAGGTCCATCCAACCCCCCTCAGTCTTGTTCTCGTTCTCCTCTCTACCTCCCCCTTCAATCTGCTAAAAGCCGATCGCTTCCGCCGTCTTCCCCGTGTTCCTCTGACTAACTCCGTAGGCTGCACTCGCGCCGACTGTTTGCGCGGGAGATCGGCGAACCGTTACCGTGTCCCGATGGCTCCTTCATCTATTATTAAATAATCTCCGTCGTCCACACGCGAGCAGTTGCTAAGCTCGCCGCACGCGCGCAGTTGCTAAGCTCGGGCAACCGACTGCCGATCGCTTCCGCCGTCTTCCTCTTGTTCCTCCGACTACACCCGTAGGCTGCTCTCCATCCGACTGTTCGCGCGGGCGATCGCTGCGCCCGCGCCCCCCCTACGGCCGAGACTTCTCCCTCGTCCGTACGGTCTATCCCAGGCAGGGTGGGGTGGGGTGGAGATCCGTCGCCCTCGACCCTCTCTCTGTCCCATTCTCCTCTACTCACAGGAAATCATGATTGCTCCTCGACAATCACTCGATGACATTGATGACGTTTGCCTCCTTGCCTCTCCCCCCCCATCAGCAGCTTGTGAGGATTCCCCTAATTAATCTTCCTTGCCTCTCCCCCCCCATCAGCAGCTTGTGAGGATTCCCCTAATTAATCTTTCTCCAAACCACACCTCGCACCTCGCTCAGCGATCTGCCAAGCAGCACATGTGAGCGGCGCGGGCGGCGCGCAGAAATCTTCCCCCTCCCCCCGCCCGTGTGATTCGCGCCGCAACAAGGTTTTGACTGGCAGCATGTGTCCGTTCCGGCATCACCAAACGGCGGAATAGGCGCCCATCATTGCCTCTGATGATGAGTACCCACTTGCAAGACGGACGTGCAATAAGCACGTACCACGTGTCCTCGCGTAGCGACAAGCGGGTAAGTAGCCTGACTGTTACGCCGCCGCTCTGTGGGTGACGGAGTCCGGCCCCCGACACGTGGCGTTGGTTTGCTGGAAAGTTCGAACTGCGCCAAAACTAGCGCGCGCGCATCCTCCGCACTTTCCGCCCGGTTGTATCCTGTCCGTCACAGCCCAGACTGGGGAAACCAAAAAACAAAAAACAAAAAACAAAAAACACACACACACACACACACAGGGCCTAGCTGCGGTACTCTCGACATGTGCAAAACGAGAGTGAATCTTCCGCTAGAATATGGAAAATACACCGCCAATATTTTTGTCTTTTGTGCATGTCGAGAGTAGTGCAGCGAGGCGCACAGACGTGGGGGAAGTTGAAGGAAGCTTCGTGCTCGGCGTGCCTCCGCGGCCCGTAAGCGACCCACGGGCGACTGAGCGGGGCCGCGGATGTCCCAGGCTGAGGTCCCACCAACAACAAACCGCGCCAAAATTAGAGCGCCCGCCTCCGCGCTTTCCCCCAGGTTTTTTTTTTTGGCTTTTCATTTGCATTTGCACATTTCTCGAGTTGTGTGGCGATGCCCTAGGAGGCTGTCGAAAACCAGGAGCGAGATCCCACTACCGATGTATGTGGATTAGGGCCTCGCCACACCACTATCGAAGCACGAATTTTCGATAGTTTAGCATCGCCACACAGCCTATCGAAAAATGCAGCTTCGAAAATTTTCTATAGGTGTCAGAAATGGGAATTCGATACCCCTATAGAACAAAATGTGCACGTCCCTGCAATTCGATAGCCCACACTCCGGACTATGGAAAAACCGCCCACACACACGCTAGATGACAGGACCCGCACACAACAGACAGAGTAGAAAGCGGCCCCGGAACAGAAAACATTCGATACCCCACCGATTCAACAGTGCTGTGTGGCGAAAGGGGGGGTTTCTATCCAAGTCCGGACTATCGAATTTTTCTGACACCTATCCAAAAAAAAGGCGATTCGATAGTGGTGTGGCGAGCCCCTTAGTGTAAGGGTCTCGCTCCACTACTATCTGCTGTACACAATTTCAATAGCGGCCGTATAGCTGTCAGAGCTCTAAAAACCGTATAAAACCTAGTGTCGCTCCACTTACTATCCGCTATACGAGTCTCCAATTTTGGAGTTCACTACAAAACACTCTCACAGCACTACAAGACATCTATGCCGACCTCCTTCGACCACCCTCCGAGTAACGACTTCTGCAGGCTGTGAACTATACGGAATCGTATGGTGAATCCAGAGGGCGCCATCTGACATCCATACGGTGATTTCCGAAGGTGGATTTCGGATAGTAAGTGGAGCCGTGACTTACTATCTGAAATCGTACAGTAGATAGTAGTGGAGCGAGACCCTAAGGCATCCTGGATTTGGCAGGAAATCAGCAGTAGCCTGTTTTTGTGAATTAGGGGCTGATCCGACTTCTCTTCTTTTCGGGGAGAACAAAAAAGAACGGCTTTGGGCTGGCCCGCCCCTTGAGGAACGGAGAAGTGATTTTGGATCCCACTTGGCCAACAATAGGGGGACTTTTACGATTTTGGCGGCGGGCCAAAGGGGAAAGGAGCCTGCTGTCAAACACAGGAGAGGACCACGTAGCCCACCCGATATTGAAAAAAAAAAAAAAATGCCGGCCTTCTTTTTAGGAGCAGGGACGGCCATCCTCCTCTTTAGGTTTTTGGTAGAACTACTGCAGCGTGAGTCGCGGACAAACTGCCACATAGATATTGTTTGCACTCCCCTCCGAGACCTACGGGAAGACCCGAGAAAGCGGGAAGAAGTGGGATCCCAGAAAATGCCACTTTTCGCCAAAACGAAGAGAGGTCGGATCAGCCCCTTAAGCCCGGGAAGAGGATTTTTTTTATTTTTTTTTTCTCTCAATTTCACCTCACAGTACCTACCTACCACTACTCGTTTGCTCTCCCATTGGAAGGTTTTTCTTTTTTTTTTGTTGTTGGGGTGCTGTGGCTGTCCCAAATGTGTGTGAAATCACAACCAAGTTCCCGCAACCATACACACGTTTCACTCATGGCGAAGGCAAAGACCAATGGCTTCATCGCTGGAAATTTGATTATGGTTTGGGAGGTGTTTGGAGGGTTCGATCCCCTCACCTAGGGCAAATGGTGTATGGAGTTACTCTTGCCCTCCTTTGCCAAAGAGAATTTCTGTCAGAACAACCTAACGGCCTGCACTGCGGCGTATTTCAAGGAAGCCTCAGACTATTGTCCATGAATATGGTCCGTGTGCCCACTCACATGCAGTCGTCTCCACTGCCACAGCCATGGTCAGTGAATCATACCCTGACATCTGACACCCCGCCTGGAGCAGACACCATCTGTGAGAAGAGCACTTTCTTTTCTTTTTTAGCAGTTTTTTCTTCATTTGTTTGGTCATGAAATGTTTTTTTGCGTTTATTTTCCCTATTTCATGCTGCCACCCACCTGTCCCCCACCCGTCCCACATCCTTCACATTAATCCACATACATGGCTAGTGGGATCTCGCTCCAGGTTTTCGACAACGACAATTTTGCATCGCCACACAGACTTTCGAAGAAGTGCGGCTCAAAAAATTTCGACAGGTGTCAGAATGGTACTTTCGGCAGCCGCCCTCCAGCAATCATTCCTCCTGCCTGCAGATGATGGAAATTCGACAGTGGCCCACCAACCTTTCGAGAATTGCGTTGGAATTCGCATTGTCAGGGACTGTTCCGTGACATGCGTACCCTGTCGAAAGGCGGAGTCCGCCTGGCCATGACCAAAAACCTTGCCCCTCGACAGCCTGTGTGGCAAACGGGGGGTAAACTGTCCACGGCCGACTTTGAGTTTTGGCTCGGCTGCAGTAAGTCTTGCCGGAGTGAGGTAAAGTGGATGGATGGGGGGGTTTCTGAGTAGTTCTGAATTCTGCCTGTTCATATTCTGAAGTTTGTCGTGGTTATTTTCTAAGTAGCTCCATTTTTTTCTGAGCCAAAGCCGGGCAATGGCCCCGGCATCTCAATTTTCAAAATTGTATGTATATTTCCATATGGGACGAGATGTGTATAAGAGACAGGGGGGGGTAAACTGTCTACCGCCGACTTTCGGAGTTTTCCTGACAGCTGTCGTAACTCTTTGAGTTTCAACAGCCTGTGTGGCGAGCCTCTATATCTTTTCTTTTTTTTTTTTCTTTTTTTCACGGCCCAGACTGGAAGGCCAACACACACACACACATACACACACGGATGCGGCTTATCTGTCCAGATTTCAACAGGTAATTGAATTGGATTTTTTAATTTTTTTTTTTACCTTCTTTTTCTTTCCTTTTTTTTTTTTTTTCAAGAGGKGGGGGGTTGGAGGAAGCTTCATGCTGTGTACCCCTATTGGGTGGCTCTCTCATAATTCACCAAACATGACAGCAAAACTTTGCATTCTATCAGTCTGGTGGAGGGCATCACTGCAGAGGGGATCTCTGATTGGATTGGCATAACTGCTCTGAAAGAATTCCTTCTTTCTGAGCAGTTTGCAGCTCAGTTAAAGAGACCCTGGTCTCTCACTGAGCTCCCTGCACGTGTTAAACCCCCAGCACACACCAGCACACCCAGGGCTAAATGTATGAGCCTAAATTTGAATTTTGTTGAGCCTGCAAGGGATGGATACCACCACTGGGAAAATTCAGGGTGGTACCCGTACCGCCCTCTGCGCTGGACATACTATCAGATTGAAAACGAAATTTTGTGGATGGTGCGGCCAGTTAACTGCGGGGCCACTGTGGTTAACGGTCGATTAATAGTGGGGCAACTGTGACAGGGCGGATCGCTTGATTTTTTTTATTTTTATTTTTTTTTTATTTTTTTTATTTTTTTTTTGGCAATACCATGGCGGACCAAGCGAGACGAAGCCTGCCAGACCCCGGGACCAGACCCGGAGGCGTGTTATGGAGGAGGAAAAAGAACATGCGGCTGGACTCAATGATCTTCTATAAGGGACCCATGGGTCAGATCATGGCCTCTCACTTGCAGGCCGCCTCCATACGAGGTACTCCTAAAAAAGAAGTGGCCCGCCCGAGGTTGGAACCCTTGGAACTCCCGGGACCCCCTGATCAACTGGAACAAAGCCACCCGGCCCTTCCAGCTGGACAGATGGCGCTAAGACAAACGTCCGAACAAAGGAATAGCCAGGAACAATACTCCCACACCTCAGTTTCAGGGGCTGACGCTGCCCAAACTTTCCCCCACACCAC